ATATCGATCTTTGGGCAGTGTGGTGGCTCTGTGGCTCAGGATCTGCGCCTGTGGCTGGAAGGTTGCTGGTTTGTATCCCGCGACCGGCAGAGGAATCCTACTCCATTGGGCCCCTGAGCAAGGCCCTTCACCCCAACAGTTCCAGGGGTGCCGTATAAATGGCGCAGACCCTGTGCTCTGACCCCAAGCTTCTCTCCCTGTCTGTGTGTCTCATGGAGAGCAAGCTGGGGTATGCGAAAAGACACATTCCTAATACAAGAAATTGTATGTGGCCAATAAAGTGATCTTATCTTTGTGTAACTAGAAGGTGTCATTGTGAATGATTTTTGTGTGTTTTCACGTCTCCAGTCTCGCGGGGGAAAGAGTGACCTGTTATTTGTCCTCCTCCTCCCCGGCAGGTGAACTCGTTAAAACTGGCACTGGAAGGGGTGGAGAAGGAGCGGGATTTCTACTTCGGGAAGCTGCGGGAGATCGAGCTTCTGTGCCAGGAGCAGGGGCAGGACAGCGCCCAGTTCGTGGAGCAGCTCATGGAGGTCCTGTACGCCACAGACGAGCAGGTCAGGCACCCGGTCGCGCTGGCCCGAGGCCCTTTGGCATGCGGCGCCCCGCTGTGGTGGTGACGACATTATTGAATAATAATCCCTCACACTTATATAGCGCTTTTCTGGACACTCCACTCAAAGCGCTTTACAGGTAATGGGGACTCCCCTCCACCACCACCAGTGTGCAGCTCCAGCCATAGTGCACCAGTACACTCACCCACACACCTTTTCCTGTTGTTGTTGTGGTTTTGGAAGGATAGTTTTCAAGGGAAGACGCGCGGCACAGAAACCAATGTAACTTTCCCTTGTTAGGCAACGTTTCCCCCTGTAGCCAGTGAGCGCGCGTCTGAATTCCTGCTTCGCTCTGATCAACTTGGATTAAATGGAGGGGGTTTCTCCGAACCACAGCAGGAGGGCGGAGGGCCAAGTCGGGATTTAAAAATAACTGAGGTGAGTCCTCACTGGACCTTGCCTGATGAGTGGAAAATCCTTTAATTTAACAATAATCTGAAAGTTACTCTCAGTAAATTTCCTGTACCCTTGTCTGATAACATATAATGATCTTGTGGTCTGTGGCTTCACCTATTGTAATCGGAAGCAACTGTTGAAGAAATCCTCAGACAGAACTAGATTTAAGAATCTGTTATAAATTTGTATTCAAAGCTTAATGTACAGTACTAACGTTTAAAGGTAAACATAAAGTATTTCAAGTAAAATATGGAATAGCCGTACGGTATGTGTATAGTGCTGCATGTGTTTAGATGCACACAAATGGCAATAGCGCTCTACTATTTAGAATTGGGAAAAACACGACACGAGTATCCGTGACAGCGTTATGCCTTACCAGCACCAGCTGCGTTCTGCCAGCTCAGCCTGTGAAAAAAGACTATACCGTTTTAAGCATGACTGATTTGAATCGGGCTGGGAAAAAAGGCATACAGTCATTCCCTGTGTTGGCAGACTGCATGTTATGTCGTAGATGTAAACTGTGGCTTTGTGTGTCAGGATGCATGTGTGTTCAGAGATGAGATTATGTGCTCTACACCCGAACCACACAGCAGAAAAACCGCAGCTTGGACTCCTGTTCCGTTAAACTGGCTAGTCTGGGAACTTTGTTGTTTTTTGTTGCTTGGTGCCTTAAATTGTTTTCAGTTGGAAAATAATAGAAATATTGATGCTTTGAAAGCTAAATATGTTGTAGTTATTTTGCTTTAAGGTCTAAATATTGAAAGGGCTTTTGGATCCGAGAGCTTTGGAAGTCTGTCTTTCCTTATCCCTTGTGGTTCAGAGCAATGTGTTCTGCATTTACATAACTTCAGTTTAAAGAGGCCAAAAACTTTATCTGCACAACCTATGGTCCATATTTAATTCCATAAAAGCCTTGCAGTTTTGCAGTTAGGAATAAAATGTGAAACAAAATCAATTTGCTGACAGTAGTACGTTTAGAAATAAAGGCACAAATTTCTGTCTGGATGTGTATTTTCACTGCGGAGTCGATGGTGATTGGATTTTTCCCTCTTCAGGAGCCTGATCTGGTCTGTCACCAGTTTTAGATTTGTTTGTAATTTTCTTTTTTTGTAACATAGTTTGAACCTTTAGAAGCTGGATCAAGAAGCCAGTGCTAGTTTGCTATGTAGTGTAGTACTACTTAGTCGTAAACTTCTGTTTTGTGGGTTTGCATTGGATAAACTGAAGTCAAGTGTCATGTCTTAAGACAGTCTGACGCTGACCTCAAAACATTATTGGGCTGAAGCAGTCGTGTCCCATATTACTGCAATGTGGTATGCACATACCAATTATATGCTTTTGACTTTGTTTAATTCTAGAAATGTGATTGTTTAGGCCTTACTTGAGCTTCTACTTGTATATCGAAAGCCTTAAGCTCTTGGAAGAAGAAGGAAAATCAATAATAAGAGCGTTCTATTTCTGGTCTATCATCCATTCTGTTTATCATCTAGCCAGTGGAAGGATGCATTGCAGGGTTTGTTCAGTTTTTAGTGTCATGCAGCACATAGCAGACTAAGAGGCTATCAGGGGAAGTCTGTGTTGCCGGATTGAGAGTTTGAATGATTTTATAACACTTCAAACTGTCACTGTAGTCATTAAATCCACCAGAACAGAATCTTCTCATTTTGTTTATCTGTTGAAGTAACTTTCAATGTCCAGTTTAAGAGAGAAAAAATGAACTATAGTAGATGCCGTTTTCCTCCTGCAGAGCAGCCACGTTCTGCAGTTTCCTGAGAGAGCGAGTGAATGAATTCTTAAAATCCGATCTGCTGAGAGGCATAAAAAACAGAAATACCGATCCTGCCAATATGGATTTGTTGTATTTCTTTACATTTTCAAGTGTCTGCAGTGTACGGCTTAGTGTAAAAACGAAGCACAATTTTTGGTACACATATATGCTTTCTTTCTGAAGTACATAAACCTGTTTAAAGGTAGGTAACTGGTATTATGGCATTATGTTCTCCCAATAGGTTGTCTGATTAGCCACTTGTCCATCAATATCGAGCCCTTTGCTTCACAAGTGTAAGCATTGGGCGAAGCCCAGGACCGATGGCGTGTCTGTGCAGCGCAGAATCCAGTGTCTGTGTCTCCTCATGGAACTCCAGTGCTGCTGTCTCTTAGAGTCGTGCGCTGACAAGCGAGCAGACTGCACCTCTGTGCCTTGTCTTGTTCCAGTGCTGTAGGTTTTATACAGGGCCTAGGCGGGTGGAAGTTAAATGCGTTATGTAAGTGGATGGGCAGCTGAGGGGCAATACTGTCAGCTAGTGAGAGAATTTTGTAATTGCAGTTATAATCGGAGCCCAGTATTGGGGGAATCGTTGTGTCAGAATCAGGATTGTTCCGGGGGTCGTTTTTCAAACTCGTCGGGCACGTAAAAGCGGGGGGCTGAATTCTGTCCCTGGATCGGGTCGGCCCGGCCCGGCCCGGCTTGACTGCTCGCTGTTGTTCCCGCAGGAGGCGGCAGGCGAGCATCACGAAGACCAGGATCAGCATCCCCACGAGGAGGCGCAGCAGCAGGAGCAGGAGCAGGAAGAGTACTGACCACAGCCCCCCCCGCCCCCCCCCCTCACCATCGCCCCCTGCATTTTGTGAGAACTTTTTTATGCTTTTTTTTTGTCTTCTCCTGAAGAACGCGCACATAGGTGGCCTCGAGAGAAGAGGGTTAAGTTCGGTCCCATCGTTAAACATTCACGTGCTGCCGCGACTGTCGGTTCAATACCTGCATCTGGTTTTTTTTTTTCCGATCGCTTCGTCAAGAAGCAGCAGTCAGCTTTGAGCAATGCTGGATGCTTCCAGGGCTGTGTGGTCCAGCCACTGCAGCATGGAGAAGATTTGTTCAGAGCTCAGGTAAGGGGATACATTGACTTTAGGACAGATAGTGAACGTTATTAGCTTGTCATCCATTGCTGTAAGCTATAAAATTCACTCCTTAATTTTTTCTTTACATTTTCACATATCAGTTCATTGATATTATTGATGAAAGGCAATAAGCCTGGCCAAAAGGCTAGTTCTGACTCATCTATGTCTCCCTCGAGAAGCTACTGCAAGAAGCTTCATTGTGGGAAAACCATGCTCTCATAGGTTTGCAAATAAAATAGCTTTGCATACAGAAAGTTGTGTATGTTAATCATTAGAAGTGACTTAATTTGTTTCACATGAGGGAAAATAAAATAGACGTGCTCTGAAGAAATCTACTGCAGCCACGAGTCTTTCAATCAGGAAGCAAAATGAAGATGTATGAGATTCACTGTTGTAGACTTTGTAATCACAAGTTCCGGGATGTAACCTGTAAATTCATTTATAAGAAAGCCACTTGTATTTTAATTTGTAACCACAGGTCCAGGGAAGTCGTGTTACTAGTACGTTCACGTTGGGTGATTTACCATAATACAGTATTCCAGTAAACTGTTTTTTATTAATTTTGTTTTTCCTAAGTATGCATTTGCTGTTACTTTAACTCAGTAGCTCACCATCATGCTTTGGTTATACAGTATATTACATGTAAACTGAAAAGGAATGTAAACAAATGTACTGTTTATAGTTATAAATAGCAAAGAAGAAAAAGTATTGGGGAGCCCTTAGATGCAAGAGATGTCTTACTCAGATGTATCTCATTTTACGTTACCCACAATTTGTTGCATGGTAGAATTGGTAGACTCTTTGTCTTTGATTATGTGAATAACTTGACCTGCTTTTATCTTTTTACATATTTAATAAAAAACTATATGTTAAATGATTTGTGTTCTGTAAATGGCATACATTCCAAAACTGGAATACAGGTATTTGTGAAAGGTTTCCTTGCTCTACATACTGTATCACACTGTATCACAGTACCTTACCGTACTGTATAGTTCCTGATCATTTTCTCAAGGCCTGGCAGATCTGGATGAATTTTGCATTACTCTTGTCATTTATGTAATTAATATATGCAATAAATTCAGTGGTATACATCTAATCAATGATACATTAACCACAGCAGACAGACAACCTTCAATTAAATCATCTCTTTCAAGTGTGTTATGACCCTTTTCTCTAAATAATTAAAAGGCTAAAAACCTTTTGCAGTGAATCAACACTTGTGTTTTATATAATGGGCTGTATAGATAACTTATTACATTTTTTTGCAAAATTGCTGAAGCTATTTGTGTATTCAATAATATCTTTAAAAAATTAGCCTTTTATCGGTTTTCTTTTTGTAAGGGGCACATTCCTAAGAAACATTCCTTTTTTTGTTCTAAATTAAATGTGCCAAGAGGCAGCATTCGACACGTGTCACTATTACCGTCTTTGAAGAGTGGTATTTTCAGATATTTTTTTTCCTCAGGAACCCTGTGGCAGACCGCTCAGATCTGAAATCTGTCCTTTAATGTCTGAGGCGCTCTTCATTCATGTAGTCACTGCCAGATCGCTGTTTAAAGCTGTTAGCAGCATGAGCATGATATTTCTGCTCTCAATATCTCAGAAACCGTTTTCTTCTGCAACGTAAGGGGACATGCTATAAGTAAAATGGGTCGAAGTTATATCTGGTGATAAACATGGAGTGGTAGCAGGAGCTACAGTAGTATTTCAAACAAAGACTGAAATACTACTGTAGTATTTTCTGTTGCATGGTAATATTTATCGTTCAGTGCTGTGCAGCTGATCCGGGCTGTTGAAAGTAGCTTTTTGCCGTGTTCCCACGTGCAGCGTTTACAAGCCTTTGCGCAAATATGATGAGTCAGGGAAAAAAAGGAAGAAGGCATTTAACCCATTATGCTTATCATACATCTTTTCCAGACTTTTTAAATGCTGCAATTGACTCCAAATGCTAAATTCTGGATGTTAGTTTCTTTCCGTACACATGGAGTTACTCTGGCCTTATCATTAGGAAGTCATGGGTTCAAATCCTGGTGACTGCTGTTGTAGCAGAGTACCTCACTCAGATAGCTTCAGTGACATGTCTAACTCACCAGGTTGTTATTTTACAAGAGAATGTGTTTGATAATTGCCCTATCTAGTTCAATAAAGGTTTATTACTACTATACTGTGGGTTAGTAAAACAATGTCCTGTTGTCAGTCCTAAATGGCACATCATTTCCGTTTACTCCATGTCCTCTGGTCCTGCTCTGCCTCTAGAGTTTGTTGAAGGCTTGGCTTAGACAAACACTTACTGTAGGTTTTCTTTCTTATAGATTAGGAAGATTCATTTTCTTTGGCTAAATGAGATACCTTTCCATCCTAGTATCATTCTAGTTTCTTTTCTCTGGACTATTTCTCTTTTTAGTTCTAGTGCAGTAACTAAAGCCAAACACAGGATAGTGCCTCTGATCTTACCAATTTATTAAACAGAATAATCCAAACTTAGTCAAAGACAATTTTTTACCATTTTATTAAATATTTCATTTCTTTCATCTTTTAAGTTACATAAAACATGAAACTAATAAACTGTTTTTTTTAAGGAAAAATAGGGTAAAACAGCTTGTCACCACTACCAAAATTATGAATATATGTTATTACAGGGTAAAACGTTTTTTTTTTTTAAGGTAGAATAAAGATGTATTGTGTAGGTATTCTATACATCAGTGCAAGAAAACTGCACGTCTCAAAAATGACTGGAAGCCTTAACTTTATATTGACAGAGGAATATAAATACTTCTACAGACGCCTTTTTATTACAGTTCTAAAACCAGACTACTGTTCCTGTTACCAGAATAAATTAAATGTAGTGTGCATATGCCCTTGTGCCGTAGCAGAGAACCACTGGCCATGTAATATTGTCTCAATGCTTTAAACTTCATTACATTCAGAAAATGTCCCAATCCATGCAAGATAAGAGTGGTATCCCTTTTGTCACCTCCTGTTTTGGAAGTAGTATTTTGTGAAAGTGCAGATTTATTTGCATTCCCTAAAGATCATGACCACAGTACTGAGAGAGGCTTGAAATGATTTAATAATCAATTTGTACAGTATGTGTACTTATGCTGAAGAAGACGGAGGTACTGATGAGCTGTCTTGTTTTTTTTTTATCCCCCTGTCTACGCACTTGGGCCTGTTCTTGCTTGGATGGACTGTTCCCAACCAAGCAAAGATCTTTAGTTAGTCCACCCTGGAGCCAGACTCTTTTGAGCAGAAGTACTGTTCTCTGGGTCTGAGGTTTTGACCATGGGGTGAAAATGTACTCGGAGAGTAAGAAGACAAAGGACATCCACACAGACACCCCAGATTATAAGAAAATCTACACTAGTCATCTACTGTTTTTTTTATGCTATCTAAAAAAATAACACTTAAAATTAAACAAGAGCAACAATTCCTTCATCTGACTGATGGGGGGAAATCCTTCTCGAATTTTGGATGTTAATAGGTTTTGGCAAAAAAACATCCCTAAAGAGACAAAATGTTGCTTCCTACTTTTCTTTTTGGATGGTGTGAATATCTTGAGATGTAGGACTGATTTAATTTCAAGCGGCTTATTTAGGAAACATCTGGAGGGAACCGCACCTAACAGAAGGTTTGGTGCCGGTTCTGATAGCCTTGATCTTTTCAAATTAAAAGTAATATGGGATGAAGCAGAGAGATTCCCAAAGTCAAACAATCCCATACCTAATGCCTAGTATGATTCCTAAATGTGCCTTTTTAAAAAGAATCGCCATGCCTTATTCACCAGGAGTAAGGAATATCGTCTCCAGGGAATGCTAATGGGTTCTGGAAGTAGCCGATAAGTCAAAATGAAATGGCTAAAACGAAATTCATGAGAACTAGGTCTCTGCTCTAAAAATACACTTCAGCTCATTTTTTTAAGTTCCCATGAAGCTGGAGTTCGTGTGGGTTGTTTCAGCTCGTCTGTGCTATGCGTTTCTCAGATGTTGGCAGTAGAATGCTGTTCACAGCCAACAATGTAGCTGCTTATTAGGAATGAGAAAAACGATTCTTGCCAAAAGCCATGATCTTGACTTGCACTCATTCGTAAATTATCTATTTGCAGCATTATGTAAATATTATTTCTAAAACTATTAACGGAATACAGATGTTTCCCAGAGAGCACACACTTTCCTGGCTGTTAGAGCGCATATGCTCTTCACAAACTTTCACTTTAGAATCTGTATTTCGCTTACCTGAGAAGTAACCATGCTTTTCCACACAAGACAACTAGTAACAGCTGTCATGGATACCTCCTCCACAAAAACAAGGATTCTAGATCTGCGTTGTCTTTCGTAAACCCTTTGGTCGTAACAGCGTCAGTAAGTGTTCCAGTTTATAGCTCTGTAGCATCAGTGCAAGGAAGAATCTTCAGTGCCTGTATTAGTCCATTAATGTGCTGACTTCTGATAACGTTTCTCCAGAGAGAAGACACAGATGTTCAAGTGTTCGGCCAACTGTTTGCCCTGCAAAGAAAAATAACACTTAATACTCTTATTAAAAAAATTACACTTCATTTAGTAACATTGTTTGTGCCTAAATGATTGTAATGACACTGATTGTGCACACATACTTTACTCCATTCTACAAAGTACTTTCACCCCCCCAAGTTTCCATGTGATGCTTGGTCTGACAAGAGCCGGTTCCACTCCTCAGGGGTCACAGGGTCTTGTTTTCATTGGACCAGAAGGTCTCAATTACTAAATTGGCCATAATTGATCAACTGGAAAGGCAGTCAGATTTTTCTCATGAAGGCTTGAAAAAGGCATGCATGTGATTCAGGCGATACTGCATTTTTAGCATTTTGAAACCCATGGGCGGGGGATTAAATTCTGTCTCCGGCTGAATCCAGCATGAGGCTGCCAAAGTAACGGCGCACTCAGCTGGAAGAAAACCCAGGAGAGGCTGCAGTGCTGTAGGTCAGCTTGGGCCAGAGCTCCCCTCCTCCAACGGGATGGCTGCTGTGTCGGCGGGTATTTCGGTCCAGCCCAGCCCATTTCTGCCTTCAGTGGAGCGGTTTGCCACCTGCTCCAGACTCCTCAGGTGCTTGAGAGAGACGAGACAACCACGGGCTCTCCGGGAGGGGAGCTGGACCACCGTCTCTTAAAACGGCAAGTTTGACACCGCTGACCTAAAACATGGTTCTCTCGCCCGCGACTCGGAGGGCCCGTGTTCCTGCAGGTTGTCATTCCGGCTCTGCTTGTATTCACTGAAATCAGCTCCCTGTGCCCTTAACTGCTTCCAGTTCCACTTTTTCCGGCTCTCCTGGTGCTGGGACTTTAAAAAGGCCTCACGGCCTGACGGATGCACCGGGCCAGCGGGGTCTCGCCGGCGCAAAGTCCGTTTTCCCTCGGGGCTGAGACCTCGAGGTGCCTGCCAGCACGTGGGTCCTGCAGCTGGGTGCTTTCACAGCAGTGGTGTCTGCCGCTCCGCTCTTCCAGCTCAAGAGCTTGTCTCCTTTCTTTAAACACCAGTGCAGCCCCTTCCCTGCCCCCCTGTTCATCTGAGCATTCAGCAGTGTTCAATCTCAGCTCAGTCACAACGGAAAAGGCCAGTACACCCCTCCCTACATTTTGCTACTGGGCTTATTTCCCACCTCCCTAAAAAAACACATTCAGGTAATTGACTGAAGCTCAGTGTCTTCCCCCCTGTCTGAGGACCTTCTGACGTTGAGGATGAAGCATCACTGTAGCCACTCCCCTCCCCCAAAGAACATCAATGGCTACAGTCAGATTTCCTGAATGAAGAGGGACGTTGTAGATGAGTAAGATGATAATAATTCCTTATATTTATACAGCGTGTTTCTGGTCACTCCAGTTAACACAATTTACAGGTAATGGGGATCCCCTCCACCACCACCCATGTGTAGCCCCACCTGGATGTTGCGACAGCAGCCAGAGTGCACCAGTACTCTCACCACACACCAGCTGTCAGTGGGGAGGAGAGTAGAGTAATGAAGCCAATTCAGAGAGGGGGATTATTAGGAGGCCATGATTGGTAAAGGCCAGGGGGAAATTTGTCCAAGATGCTGAGGTAATACCCCTACTCTTTTCCAGAAACACCCTGGGATTTTTCATAACCACAGAAAGTCAGAACCTCGGTTTTACATTTCCTCCGAAGGACAGAGCCTTTCTTTACAGTATAGTGTCCCCCTCACTATACTGGGGCATTAGGACCCACTAGGACCACAGGGTGAGCGCCCCCTGCTGGCCCCACTAACACCTCTTCCAGCAGCAACCTTAGCTTCCCAGGAGGTCTCCCATCCAGGTACTGACCAGGCTCACGCCTGCTGAGCTTCAGTGGGCTGCCAGTTGTGAGTTGCAGGGAGATATGGCTACTGGCATTGATGGACCATGCATCTCTGCTTCTATTAGCAGGTTAGTAAAAAAACGTCAGAAGGATGAATTACTTCAAGCAACAATGGTTTTGTATACATTGGCTTTTTCTTTCAAAACATTCTACTTGATCTTTGTTTTGGCTGCAACCTATTGTTATTTTAAGATTAAAAAACTGCTTGGTCTAAGCTCTGCGATTGGTCACAATCGCACAAACATGCCCTCCCTGTTCATGGGGAAACAGCTGCTGCCTGTCTTTACACCTGGACAGGCGAACTCCCCCCCGTGCTGTACTGCGTTCTGCACTTTGGGCTCCTACTACACAATCGACAGGCTCCTGACCGTGCACGCCGGCCGCTGCAAGACTACAGTATGTGGTGCCAATCACGAGGCAGAAATGCCTTACAACTGTCCTCGCCTAGTTAATCTGCAGTGGCTGCTGAAAACCAGACTGAACCCAGCCTATCCAGTCCTCCACGACAGCGGCCCATGTCACCTCTCTGATCTCCTGACACGACGTTCCTTCACGGTGACTGAGTGACGGTAATTCTGGGATGCTCCTTCTCTCTACCACTTCGTGGACTGGCTTTTTGATTCTCAGTTCCTCTACAGTTTCAAAATACAAATAAGCCGGGAGGGCGGTCACCAGTGTGCTCGATGGTAGGTCAAGCGCCGATTTCGGAGGCCTGTGGCTTGACGCCTCCTTCGAAGACACGGAATCGGAACAGGGTCCGGCTCTACAAGACCCTCTGATTCAAGGGTAGGACTTTCTCTTGGTCGAGCAGAAGAACTCGGGGCTTGCGTTGTGTGTAATTTAATGCTGTCATGTACAATGTGTGGATCATTTTGCCACATAATTGATGCCATTGCCTCACAAGACCAGAGACTGTACTAATTAAACATTCTGGGGGAAAGATGACTTGCTGGGAGGACATTTCTACGATAACCCTCCACTTTGCACATATGGAAGCACTTTCCCTGTGGTGGAAGAGAGAAGCGCTGTGAACAAAAACTCATTTTTTTTGTTCCCTAGTGCAAACTCTCGGGGGCTCAGTGTTGCACTGTCATAGTGTAAGCCAACGCGCGTGTCGAATTTCTCCGTGCTTTTAATCAGACATACAAAAACAATGCAAGTCGTGCCTTTCAAGCTGAAATCTGAAAAGATAAGAAAAACTAGAAAACTTCTTTTGAAATCTGTTTTTTCTGGGGGGAACTGGCAAGTAAAAATAGAGCAGGCTATGCAATGTTGTAATTAGGGTAAGAAATCCTTCATGCTCTACATAATCGTAGTTTAGAACCATCTAATATGTTCATGGTTTTATAGTGAAATTATGTCATGGCTATATGTGATCTGTCAAAGGGTTTTTGAAAAGGGGCACTTTATAGTAAAATGTCAAATACAGTGACACTGAAGGCATATGAGCCGTTCTTGTCTAGGATAATCCACGTACTTACCACACACACTCCGTAGTGGACATGGGCGGCTGTCACCAGCACAGTGTAGCCCACAAGCACAAGAATCTCGCTCTTCACCACAAGTCCTGTTGACACGCCAATGGTGATCACGGATAAGGGAAGCAAGAGCCAGTGAAAGGCCTCTGATCTTGTACTTGTCATCTGGCAGATAATAAGTCTGCACTGTGAAGGAAAGAGAAGACAGTGAGAAAACAGTATCAAAGTAAACCAAAAATGGCAAGCTAAATCTCATAGATTTGGTGATCATTCTGTGGAATCCTGGTGTCTGGAGCATCTTCTGCTGGAAAGTTTTTTTCAACTATCCTCAAGAAGTTCGTATAAAGCCTGAGGAAAGTAGGGGGAAAAAATCCACCAAAGCTTGCTTTGTTTTTTTGTTTTTTGGAGCTGCTGTATGTTGGTGGCTAAGTCCGCAGTTTTCCCAAAGGGGAAGAGACGCGTCTTACTGTAACATTGGAGAAGGCGACTCCTGTCATCCACAGGAACAGCCTGGGGTGCTGAGCCAGGACATCGCCAGGTGAAGCCATCGCCCAGGCGGTGAGCAAAGCGAAGAGCAGGCAGGGGGAGAGCAGGGGGAGGAGGCCTTCGTAGATGGAGCTCCTTTTAATCGTCCCGTTCTTGCATGCCCTGGAGATACACGGCACTCTGCATGAAACCTGGCACCGGACTTCGCTTGAAAGGTGTGTTTGAGGCCACGTTCGTTTGGTCAGTGAATTGTGGTTTTTTCAAGGATGCCGGAACTGGCCGATTTCGTGGATGTTGTCCTGTTGGGCTTATTTGATGAAATGAAGTGCCTTACAAAGTCAGAGCCATCCCTGCAAGGATCATAAACACTCCACCACAATGCCAGCCCTGTTCCGGAGTGGGATTGTGTGATAGACTTTGAATGGTGATTATTTTATGGATTGACTGCTTAACCACTGACAGATCAACAGGCTTCTTCACGGTAAGTCACTTTATACTCTACAGCCCCATAGTGTGAACACAGGATATCTGCACGGCTACACCGTATAACTGCCTGAAATATAGATTAATGAAGTACTTTACAGAAGTGAGGGAAAATAGTAGCTGCTGTCAAATGAACAAAAGAAAGCTCTCTACAGAGACCTGCAGAATAACAGATTTACCACAGCTGCTGCAGTAACATGTTCAGAAATGTAGAACCCACTCCAGAAAACCTTTTTTTGGGGGGAAAAGAAAACCTTTTTTTGGGGGGAAAGTGAATTGTTTAAATCATACTCACTGGTAAATATTGTAAAGAGTCTGTGGCATGGAGAGAAATGCACTGCAGCCTGGAAAAGAGACAAAGCCCCTAACCATCAGTGGACACCTTCACAGTTAATGGCACTGAGATTCTTGCTGGCCACAGAGGTGCTCCTTAGACACGGACAAATGACCTTAAAGACGGCTACAGGCTTGCAAAAACTCTTGCCAGAAATCAGAGAAGAGGCTCGTAACTGAGTACACAGATCTTCATTTAGCTTTCATTTAAAGGTAAAGCTCATAACACCTACAGTTAAAAAGAAAACACATCTGGTCTGTGTATTTAAGGGATTTCTTCTGTACTAGTAGAATGAAGTTGACTCCTGAACTCTAGAAAACACTAAGGATTTTGCAGAAAAGATTAAGTTAAGGAACAGTCTTTAAAAAAGTATCATGGAATTAAGGGTACATAGGACAAAATGATACGCTCCAGAGAGCATAACTTAATCTGAACTCAAAATAACTTGCTTATTTTAAAGTGCAAGGATGGTGTGAGCGGAGAATATTCCACAACTGCAACCAAATGGTTAACGTGAATTCTTAGGAGGAATGTCGTTTTACGTGGTTCAGATTAATTTGATTCCATCGTCTTAACATCACAAAATGACAGCCACAGCAACATATATTGTTATATTAGAACATATAATATGTATATAATATGTTATATTATATTATAAAATATAATATAGGCAGCACAGTAGCGCAGTGGTTAGCATTGCTGCTCACAGCCCTGGGTTCAGCTCCTGAGGAGCTATCTATGTGGTGTTCGTGTCCTCTGGATACTTTCCTCCCACAGTCCAAAGACATGCTGGTAGGTTAATTGGCTTCTGGGAAAATTGGCACTGGTGTGTCTGTGTTTTTGTCCATGTCTGCGTGTGCCCTGCGATGGACTTGTGTCCCATCAGGGTGTATCCTGTCTTGCCCCCATTGCTTGCTGGGACAGGCTCTAAATGGTCTGTGACCCTGTACCTATACTAGATAAAGCGCTTAGAAAATGGGTGGATGGATGTGATAATACGCCATCATATCAGTGTATTCCTAACGAGTTTGGAATCCTGCTCTTGGAAAAAAGACAAAATTAATTCCGAAATGGCAACAGTGCACTGAAATATTAAAAGCTTTTACTCTTCTCTCCCCGCAGCCACAGGCTACACTGACATCAGGCAGCAGCTCTGTAAAATAAGGGCCGTGCTGATGTGCTGCTGAGTTACATAACCCAGCTCTGAGGAACTGCTAATACGAGTCAGATGAGCTCAGAGCTGTGGCTCCTACAGCCAAGCCAGCTGCTTCTCATTTCAGCAGACGTCAGAGAAAACAGTGTTTCTACGAGCTCGACTTCAGTTTCCTGTTGAAAGAAACAGTTTGCTTCGGGCGCAGAACAATTTGACAGGAATTTAAATGGGGGCTAATAATGACTCCATCATGACACACCAAGAAGGTGATCAGCAAAAAAAAAGGCAGGATTGTCCTGGAGTAAAATTAAAGAATTTGCAGGATCTCACAACAACAGCCGGAACGGTTCCAAGTGCGTCTAAACATGCTGGGGGACTGATGGTCTTGGAGTACACTTAAACTGAAGCTTAAACTGCATGCAATCTTGATTTATGTCAAGGCACAAAAACCTTCTGGTTCTTATGCTGTGACATAAATCAAAAAGAATATCATTTTGTCATTGCTTGTTCAAGAAAACATGCGTGAAAGTAAAAGGAATTTCCTCAACAGATGTTGTCTGTTCGTGCCTCAGACCAGATTTGAAGTTGATGATGCCACCTGGTGTTCAGCGCTGTGACTGAACTGCCATCTCCTCAATGCAGGCCAGTTCCTTTTCATCCTCCCGTTTTCTAGCCTCCTCATCGAGCAGGATTGTGGGGGAGCCAGTGCCTACACCCTGGATGGGGGTGCCTGTCCATTGCAAGGCACAGACCCAAACACACACAAACATAGACACTCACACCAGGGCCAGTTTTCTCACAGCCTGCCGGGGTGTTTTTGGACTGTGGGAGGAAACTGGAGGAGCCGGAGGAAACCCACACAAACACAGGGAGAACATACAAACTCCACCCAGACAGCATTCCAGGAATTAAACAGCGCCCCCGCGCTGTGAGGCAGCAATGCTAACCACTGCACTTCTGTGCTATCCAGTTCCTTTTAAATTCATTTTAAAATACCCGAATTTTATGGATAAAGCCTTTTCTTTTCACTGTTTTTAAATTCACTCCAGGACCAAATATTCAAGAAATATTGAATAATATCCTGAACATTAGCTGACAAAAAGTAACGAGGAATACAGCAGAGAGAGAGAGAGAACAGAACATAAAATGAGATCCACAATAGTAGGGAGAGAGAGAGATAGGACGTAGTGACAGAAGAGTGAGACTTACCTATGACCATGGCGATTAGGATATCCGCAAAGAAATACCCAAAGTGTAATGGCCTGTACCACGCTTCTACTCCGACTACAGCCGTCAGCAGATACACCCCTGTTAATGTCTGCAGAGGGAAGAAAAACAATTTCAAGAGGGTTGTATTCTCAGACACGTCATTCGTGCACAATCTTTCTGGAACCCAAACATTGCACGAGCTTCTTTTTCCCAGAACGGACATCGCGGTTCTTGAAAAGCTCAATCCTCTCTGCAAACCAGGTGAATTTTAAATGCGGCTCTGTTAGAGCCTCTCCCATCAGCCCATTCTATTAAATCAAACATCTATCGAGCGCATGTAGCAGTAGGCAGATCTCTCTACTATAAAGGACGATACTTGGTTTTCCAGAACTTCCCGTACAAAGACCTTTCTGAACTCTCTGTAAAATTCTGGACAAATAGGTATGGTCTAAAGTAATCTGTCCACATTGACTCACTCAGAAATTTATTTAATTATCGGTACACTCAGATTATTATGTGGTATATTAAATGATTGACCGAGACATTTCTATATAAGTTTCAGAGCTTACTTACAAGTTTGAGTCTATGACATTTAAAGATGTATTTTAAGACTTCAGCCAATGAAGCTACAGCCAATGAAGTAAAATGATCCAAACTATTGCTCAACCATCAACATACCAACTTCTGTATCTGCTATTAAAGTATGCCCTCACAGCCTATAGCCATGCTTACCTTAAAACATCCATTTAAGTATGGCCGTAAGACATCAAGAGTAGGCTGCTATTATTAAATAGATATATGTTAAAGCAGTAGGTTTTTTTATGTTGTTGCTCATGGATAATTGGAAAACAGACAGTTGCATTTGTGTGTTTTCATCCCCTAACGCTATGCAAATCATGATATTAAATGTCCTTTTGAGGTGAACCTCGGTGTTTGCAGAAGGAAGCACATTTTTTAAAAAAAGGATCAACCCTGCTTGATTGCCAGTTCTTGAATAGGATTCAATTAAAGCATATTTCAATACTTATACAAAAAGAATTATACACATTAAATACAAGCTAAGCTGTGATGCATGATGGGCTAAAAACAGATGTCGAATAAATAATTCAGAGACAACCCTCTCCTTATTATTAGGGTACTGTAGTCTTTTGAAGAGATATTACCTTTCCACTTAATGCATTCTACAACATTTTTCTTTGCTCTGCCCTTAGCTTCTTATAAAATTCAATATTGCATTTTCTTTACATTTTCATTATCAGTCTGCTGTAGTCAAGCTTTACTTTTAAAGATGCGTGTTCTTTTATATATTCATTTTTTTAATGTATGTTTTTCTATTAAAGAAAGAAACTAGTGAGTTTCGATCAGTTTCACAGGTGTGGAAGGCAGATTGGAGAATTCCCCAGGGTCTGATTTATAATGAGGAGGCCTGTCACCTCTAGAATGTGGAAATGACCTGTTTTGAGAACAGCAGAATGCACTGCGGTGTACTGCTCCAGGTTATCGGACTGGGTTTATTCTTTGTAGTTTTAATTGCAGATCTATGTCTAGTGTCCTACTGGTCACATAGACTGTTTCTAAAGACAAGAGGAACTGGACAGTAGTAGGTTTTCCTCTAAGATTTCTCGGTACTTTCCTCCATCCATTTTCCCTTCAGTCCCAACCAGCTTTCCAATCTAATAAAATAGCTTTGTTGGCTATTTTAGGACGCTAAAGGAATGCTATTTTTTTTTGCCTCCCTTTCCAATCTGCCACACAGGACAGTTTTATGACTAAGACATTACCAACTCAAACATTTTTTCCCCATCTCGGCCACTGAACTCCCTGACCAGTTTCCTGCTTTCCTGGCTGCTCAGTGTGAAGGGGACAGCCTGATTCATGCTGTATCTGGGTGGTTTAATACTTCTTTTAATGAACTTTCTTCACTCCCAAAGGCATATTCAAGGTCCTTGAAATGTATTTATTCCCTTTTCTTGATCTGGGCCATGGTCTTCATGTCGAATCTTTGTTCGAAATTCTATACCTGACTGAAAGACCTTTCAGAGACAGGTTCCGTATATTTATTTGAAATGATGTGAAACACTATTGCTGTACACAGCCCAAAGCCATTCCGCGAATGCTGTGGCTTGACAAAGTAATTTTGTGCACTTAAATTAATTTAGGCTTGTAATAGCAAAAGGCGTGAATACTTCATTTAACTTCTTTCATCAGTAAATGTATTCAGTTTGAGCATTCACGTTTTGATTAAAAATATTCAAATATTCACTCAAAAATGAATAAATATAAATATCCTTTGTAAAAGAGATCATGCTACTGTGTACAGAAAAGTGAATAATTGAAAAGAAACATGGCATGGAATACCATAACCCATGAAAACAAGCTGTTCCAGCCACTGCTTCCCATTCCCTAACAGTCTGTTTATTACGGAGCTTTTTGCTTCCATCAGCCGCACGCCCTCCTGTTAGGATATATGTGGAGGCGCTGTTCCATTCATTTAAGGCAACTTAAGAAATGAGTGGCTGTCTGGTTTTCATAACTCTGTCAAATGCTATTTGAATATGTATAGAGTTCCCGTGAAAGAGACAGAATACAAAATAACTGATACCCAAAATTGAACTCTAGCAATCATTTTCTCTGCTAATGTACCAGTTGTATCTTTAAGGACAGGGGACATTATTTATCCATCCATGCACTTTCCAACCCCTTTACCCAGCACGAGGTCACAGGAGGGCAAGGATACACCCTGGACGGTATGCCTGTCCATCACAGGGTAGACACACAGACACCGACTCGCACACACTCACACCGGGACCAGTTTTCCCAGAAGCCAGTTCACCTGCAGGTATGTCTTTGGATTGTGGGAGGAAACCCACGTGAACAGAGAGAGATCACAGATAGTGCCCAAGGACTCGAACCCAGGGCCCCGGCACTGTGAGCCGGTAATTCTAATCACCCACCACCCGGGGACTTTATGGTGTGAATGATTTATGTGCTAGGAAATGTAAATTAAATAAGTATTAAAATTGAACATTTACTTTTAACTGTAATCCTAAGATAAGTCAATTCATTTTTTAAGTATTCTCCGCTAGAGTTTGAGCTGCTTTAGCTCGAAGTGGGCAGGCATCAGAAATGAAAAGAGTTTTTAATGGTAGAGTGCTTGTCAGAGCAGGCCACAGCTAAGTCCAAGCACAGTCCCATTCAGTCCCAGCTCTCCATCAAAAGGTCACATAGACTGTTAACCACATAAGAGGGGTTAATGGGATACAGAGTGAATGACCAACGGTCTATCAATACAATTACCCTCACGGACTTGAAGACGTTCTATAATGGACTGTGTTGCAGCTTCCTTGGCACGTGCAAACACAGGCTAACACCTGTTGGTAAGCATGTAAACCACGTTATAAACACAAGACAAAATGGGTGCCGCTAAAGAGGCTGAATGCTAAGGGGGTCCACGGCAAAAACAGTAACTTGTATTTTCTGCCCTGCTTTGCCGAAGTTCATCTCTGGCCCACGGACTTCGTCCGTTTCATTGTTGCACCGTCAAATCATTTTCTCTTGATCAGAACGTGGAAATACGGTCTGTCTGGATCATGGTGACCCCAGCCAATGGATGCATTTCAAAGGAATCGTTCAAGTGTAAAAATCGTAGCGGTTTTGTTTGATTTTTACCAATGTCAAAAACCGAAGCCCCACAAGAAGTGGTCCTGGGTGCTTACCACTTGACTGATGTCGTATCCCCAGGGGAGGAAGAGCACGCCGGTGTTGTATTTCTCCCAGTGAGAAAGCAAGAAGGTGAAGAGGATGATCCACAGCACGTAGTAAAAGGTGTAGGCGGACACAGATCTTCCCGGACTGATCCCGAACACGGAGAACAGGGACAGGGTGAAGATGGAGGTGGCCCAGCTGTCCAGCCCGTGGTCAAACAGCTCTCCCAGAGGGCTGCTGGACTGGGTTCTGCGGGCATGCTTCCCGTCTATGGAATCTGAAGAGGAGGCACACAAGCGGGAACACAAGCTCTAAGCCAAGGCCATTCCAGCAATTACAGTACATTCCCAACCAACCCTGTCGGCTGCACTCCGAAAGCTCTTTGGTGCTCGGAACATGTCAGCAGGCCTACAGAGACACAACGTGGAGATCTGGACTCTTGCAATTCAATTTGTTTTGTATTGGATTAAGTTTTATTTGATTAAGTTGCGATGTCTGAAAACAATAATCTTGACGCAGCACAAAAGGATAAATCATTCAAAGGTAATCAGGGAAGAAGTCCGGTCCAGACTATTTCTTTTTCCTGAGCATCTTTTGCCCCACCACATGAAACAGGAAAAGGGATTCATGCCAGTAACTGCCCTGTAATTATGCACTTCGAGTGACTGTGGAAGAACTGCTTTAAAATTAGTTTTTAGAATGACCACTGCTCCATCTGTGTGTCTGGTTCTGTTATATCTGTTGAACCTCCCATGTCATGTTAATTACCAGCTTATTTTACATTTTAAAGCATCTTGGTACAGGTAGCTTTGAGACAGACAATCCATTTAAAACCTTTAGGGTATTTTTAAAGCTAAACATTTATACGGAAAATAGTGGCATTGATTAATCACACATTTTGTCTTTTCGTTTTGCCCACATTTCCACATGTACTCATTCGCCTTACCTAAAGCATAAGCAGAGAATGTAGTAAGGCCCGACACTCCCCACACCCAGCCTGGGATATGTTGTGAACCGACATCTGAAAATAACATACTTTTAGCATGGTCCTTTTTTACAGTTACTTGTTCAGTCAAACATTTGTTACACTAGAGCATGAAGGAATGCGCTAATAAATACTAACTGCAAGCCAGCAAAAATCACTGAAGAATGCTGCAATCAAGTACCTATCCCTACTGCAATTCAGAAAGGAAACAGATGCCTTGATAGAGGGCTCCCAACACGGCTTTAGATAAAATAAAGGATTAAAAGCCAGTCAATAGGTGAAGAACATTTTAAACACAGAGAACTTAATCACATTAAAATCCCATGTGCTGGAGTGAACCATCACAAATGTAACGAGTCTCATTAATTCTTTCTCCATTATCTCCCAACTCTTGATATTAGTACTATATTTGATGTGATATTGCCAAAACTAGCCCTTAATCAGATGGTGAGAAAACAGTTTATGGATTTATGTCACTCTGACATATTTTGTGCTGGGCTTACAAGTGAAGACTTTAACATTAACAGTTTGTACAGACTTCAAATGCAACAGCTTTTTGTGTACTGTGTAGAAAGTTTCTAGATTTATCTGCCAGATCCCAAAAGTTCATCCACAGTGACTGTTATAATGTAGGTTTCAAAGTTTATGGAAATAATTTATCATTGTATTGTAAAAATTGTATATTTTATTTTACTGTGGTATCTAGTGTTTTAATCAGTTTAAAACATTTTGTAGCGTATCTTTTCTGTCTTTGCCATTTTTTTAATCATTCTTTATTTTTGCGACTTTCTCAGCATAAAATGTGCTATAAGATTAAAGTTTATATTGTAGATAGCTTTCCATTACCACTTTGTGAGATCCTGAGAATGAAAAACTCTCACCCCACGGTCTGTGTGGGTCCTAATGCCCGTGTGGGTCCTAATGCCCCTGTAAAGTGAGGGGGACACTATACTGTAAAAAGACACCGTCCTTCAGATGAGATGTAAAACAGAGGTCCTGGCTCTCTGTGGTCATTCTCGAAAAGAGTAGGGATTTACCTACAGTTACCCCGGTTATCTGGTCAAATTTCCCTCCTGGCCTTTACCAATCGTGGCCTCCCAATAATCCCCATCTGTGAACTGGCTTAATCACTGTCCTTCTCCCCACCGATAGCTGGTGTGTGGTGAATGTACTGGTGCACAATGGCTGCTGTCGCATCATCCAGGTGGGGCTACACACTGGTGGTGGTGGAGGGGAGTCCCCATTACCTGTGAAGCGCTTTAAGTGGAGTGTCCAGAAAAGCACTATACAAGTGTAAGGAATTACTTGTCAGATATGATGGTAAGAAACAAGACACGTAGCATAGAAATTGTTCAGTTGAGGTTTTGCAGTTATTCAGTTCTGTCCCCCCAGACCATAAAAGGCTTTCAAAATCTGTCTCATTCCTAGCTTTTGACAGTGGCTCACTGTATTCAAACGATCTGAAAGAGCCAGATCTCATGCTTTTAACACTGCCAGCAGCACGAAAACTGCACAGGCATGTTGTTCACAGACTGAAAACAAAACGTCTTGTTGTTTGATATAGAAAGTTGACTATTATAATATGTGAAGTGCAAGAGCCTGTGAAACATAACTGTGAGAGGGAAATTGTGCTGAAAATCGGCAGAAACATGTAACAGAAATAGTTATTGGTTGATGACCTACATACTTTAGGAAATAATATTAAACTGACCTGTTGGTGACCTAAGAGCTTAAACACCTAGTACACACGGTCACATTATTTCTGGACTCTATTATAGTTCACAGTTGATGAAATGAGACACTGCGACACAAAATCCTTTAAGCAGCAGAAATAACACATTAATGGCTGAGCTGCTTTACCTGATGCTTTGTAATCCCAGTCATAACAACACAACAGGAAGTAATTTATTAGAATCAGCAAAAATCCACTGAAAGTTAATAAATTAGGCGCAATCCACAAAGGTACAGCCTGCAATAAATGGAAACAGTTATTAGACCACATGACTTGCATCCTACATTTCAACACCATGATGGAAAATACAGCATCCATCCCCACTGAAGAATTTCATGACATTCACAATAACAATGGAAGGTTATATAACTGGAAGAAGAGCCTGAATTCACCAATTAAACCCCAGACTCTACATCTATACAGAATGCTTATTCACAAATGTGTTTTTTTAAAACTTGTATAACACAATGTTACACCTATTTAATCACGGTATTGACAATGAGCACTGTTGTTAACTGTAGCTTACAGACGTTTGCTCTTGTAGGCGATGACTTAGAAACCTGAAATGCAAAGACACAGTTGCCATGTGTGGATGTCCTCATTGCCTTGTAACAGGAGCTACGGACGGTGGACACATCACACCTCCTACAATACTCTTCAAACAAACCAGAAATAATACTGGAACCAAAGCTCAGCTCTGTCCCTTCCTCTCCTCTCCCATTCTAAGACACTGGACAACATCGGAAATTCTTCTTTGGAAAAACAAACCTTTTTTTTTTCCCATTTCTAAAATTGTAATTTAAAGTTGTTGGTGGATCCAAGAGCTTGGTTTACATTGACAATAAAACTCGATATCCCTGCTCATTTAAATGTGTGGGATGATTATGAATGCAGAATTACATTCATAAAGGTAGCATCCTTCAGGAAATACTGTATCTGTAATCAACTGTTTTCAGGGCTATCAAATCAAATTAATTAAGAAACCTTTGGTCTTCTCTCTGGATTCAAATATCTTATCCTCTAGGTTTTACACTCTTGTTGGGATGTGGTTATTACGAAGATGCAGATATTTTAAATCCTAAGCTTTTTGGCAATACTCATTGCATTTGTATTGAGAATCTAGTACAAATCAGCTCTCATTTCAGTGGTATCAAGGTGTCTCTGATCCTCAGAATTCTAAGGAAAAGGAAAAAATATACTTTATACAAATATTGTACATAAGAGCTCATCTAATCAGATTGTAATAGCAGTGATTCTCAGTAACTGTGCCAAACAGGAACAAGCCACTCTTCCACAGAAGGAATCTGTGGTCCTGTAGCTATTCCAGCCCCACATACCATAAGAAACCAGACTAAAAACCACAGAAATCCCTCATCTGCCTGACCAGTGTACTGGGCACCCGACTCGTCGCCCTTGGACTGAGATGGAAGGTGACTCGTATTCCAATAATAGAACCTGTGTTCCACAGACCACCCAAGTGGATACTGGCATGTGCGGGGATTGAAAGGGGATGCTTTCTTTCTGAGTCTCTGGCCAATTAAAATAAACAGAGTAAAAAACTGTGTAAGACTGAAAGTCTGACCCTAGCCTGATTAGAGAAATTGTTTAACTTACAATAATTATAGCAGGTTTAACAATAATAATAATCATCATCATTTCTGCACTATTGTGTTCTCTGGAAATATAATAATATCTTATTTAGAAAATATTTTATTTTTTGTAGAGAAATGATAATTCAGCAGTCATTAAAAATCACCCCCCTACATTTTCCACTTGAACCTGTTATCCATTTTATGACTTTTGTTTGTAACCCGACACCTTTTCAATCTTGAGAACCACCTAGGAGACTGACTTTCTTTTTTTTTCTGTATTCATTATTTAACAAACTTTGTGTGCTCCATAAACCTTTTTTTTTTAATAATGCCCTCTTGATGATGGCACAAAAATACCAATTCAGATGACTTGAACACATATGAATTCACCACCATTACCAAAATGGGTCAGCAGGAACCCCTGTCCTCTATTGGTAGCAGAAACTTGTACTAAAATGCGACTATATTTCAGGCTGAAGTCGGGCAAAGCTGACTTACCTTAACCATCTGGTTCCACAGGAGCTGCATGACATACACTGAGAGAGGATTGGTATCCACAGCGCTGTACTGTAAGACAGAGAACAGGCACCACTGGTCTGAAGCCATGACATACCAGAGCTCTGGGGAATGCTCTGCATTCTGTGTCCTCTCACCTCTCAGAGCAAGGCAAGGCAAGGCAAGGCAAGGCAGGCGTTAGTTACCGCTATCCAACCTTTCTAGAAGAAAGCTGAGAAGCCTTTTAAAATGCGGAAGTGAAGTTGGCACTGCCGCCTCGCAGCGCTGGGGCCCTGGGTTCAATTCCGGACCTGGGGTGCTGTCTGTGTGGAGCTTGCATGTTCTCCACAGGTTTCCTCTGGGGAGCTCCTGTGCCCCCCAACAGTCCAAAGACAGAGTGGCTGGTGTAGTGGCTTGTGGGAACACTGTCCCTGTTGTGGGTGCATACCCTGCAGGGTGTACCCTGCCTTACAACTCTTGCTTGCTGGGATAGACTCAGGCTCCCCCCTGTAGACCTGAGCTGGATGAAGTGCTCAGAAAACAGGTGGATGGAAGTGAAGTTTCTCGTGATATATTTTAGCACTGATGACGAAGCAAATACATTTGAAACGACACCGTCCATCGGAGGCCTGTGCTTTGGCATCTCCATTGCCAATCCACAAATCTTCGCACTTGTCGCCAACATTCAGTACTGAGCTCGTGAGCTGAGTTGGGACTCTGGGGAGCAGCTGCAACACACAGCAAGCATCAAACCCTAATCCCCTCCAGCAATTTCCAGCCAAAGTGACCAGATGGAAAAAATTATAAAAATAAAATAAGAAACACAATGTCCTGAAGGGTCACTAGAATTTGCTCTGATAGCCCTGTAAAATAAAGCTGCCGCGCATTAAGAGCAGGGCTGTCTCCAAATATGCTTCCTGGCCTTTTCTTAATTTTATGTTTTCTCCCATCGGCCTCCAACAACCGAGAATATTCGGGCGCGACGGAAAAATCTGTAGCAGACTAGAGAGAGAGAAAAAAAAACAGCGCACGGCGTCCACAAGGGGGTGCGTCTATTGTCAAGATGCGATGTCGGTGGTACCACAACATCCATCCGCGCGTGTTCTTACCGCTTCATCCAGTTCAGGCTGGCGAGGCAGCCACAGCCTATCCCAGCAAGGCGGGGTGTGACTCTGGACGGGACGTCGGTGCATCGCACAGCACACACAAGCACCAACACCTCAGACTCGCACACGGTCATACTCGGGCCAGTCTTCCCAGGAGCCAACTGACCTACCGGTATGTCTTTAGCTGTGGGAGGAAACCCACACAAACACGAGCAAAACACAGGAACGCCACACAGACAGCGACCCCAGGTGAGGCAGCGTGTCTGTGTCTGAGTCTGTGTGCCCTGCGGAAGATAAATGCAGGCTCTCTTTTTTTTCTTCTTTTTTTTCCCCTCCAATACTACCAACACAATGAAAAAAAAATGATCCACCAATTGTACCGAACGTGTCCTACATTATTTTGCACTACCGGTTGAAAAGTCAATACATGAAAACACTGCACTAAGTACTGACCCGACATCCTGAGACTTATTTCTAGGGAATGCGAGAGCTGACAGAACTCATGGTAGTGTGGTCTTTACCTGCCGTAGTTGTGTTGTGTGCAATCCAGTGGTGAAATGCTTACTCTTTCACCCAGATTTCACAGTATTACCACTTTACTTGACTAGAAATCAACAAGCACTAAAAAGCGAAGGCATTTCCATATAACTAGAAAAAAAAAAAGCTTACATGTCTGTTATTGGTGACACAATGGCCCGACAGTCGCCCGGGGAAGTCAAGTGGGGTGAAAATTCAGGGAATGTACGATGACGTTCTTTCCAAAGATGATTAAAATTACTATTACTATTTACGTAGACCCTCAACGTCTTATTTTAAACGTGTGACAATCCAGCGCCGGAGTTACCACACCCACAATTATTATATCCCGAAATACAGATGTCCCGGGACGATCAGAAAAGCATTTCCAAAGACCGGAGGCGGCTAATTATAAAAGAGGGATATTCTGAGTCGTCGCTCACAATGTTTTCGGATTGCCCATTCTTACAGTCTAAGCTGTTCAATTCATTCTTTATCTCCGATTTGCTTTTATTTTTTAATCAGCCCTTACCTTATAAAATAGAAATAATAAATATATATAAATATTTCCAATATCGCAATCCAGTTCACTTGCGCGTTAGCTTGGCTCCTACGATTTTTCACGATTTCTGTATCTTGTCTTTAGGAAACACCATAACAGCATGAAAACTGATCGCTGTTTCTGAATCAAACAAGACTGTACCCCGATTTGTTATGCTTTTACCTTATATTTGTCGAACCCGGCCAGTTGCTGCGGCGACACATAATGGTAGTCAAACATGATCCCTGCGCTTTGCAGCTCGCCAGTTTCCAGCAGGGTTCTCCGACCCTGGCGAAGCGTCACCACAGTTGAAACTATCAGGACCGCAGCTGCCTGCAACCTCACAGCAGCTATCAACTTAAGGCATCGGCTGCGTCACTTCCTGAGGAGAAACCAGGTGGAAAAAAACCCTGGCTTGCTCACCCCAGCTGGATTTGGGTTTTTTTATGCTGCTGTCACTCCTGTGCGGCAGCTGTGCGACCGCGTCTTCTGTGGTCGCGTCATGCGTGATGGCACCAACACGTCGGCACCGGGTCACTTCATGGAGACATCGCCGGGAGACGGAGCTTAGCTGTCTATCATGACTGACTCCGCATTGCCTCAGGACCCCTTGTCTATTTTGTCTTCCAAAAAACGACATTTTCTGTCTGATGGCCCGCCTCTTCACCACGAATTGGTGGATAACAGCTGACAGCTCAGCAAACGATTAAAAAACATTTACACACTGTGTGTAAAACATTCTGGGCAGATAAATGGTATTGTGGATCAATATTTACTATAATTGTTACAGATTCTTATCAAAAGCAATTTATTCAGCGATGTTCTTTTACAAATAAAACCAACTGTCATTGGTTGTCACAGCAGCAGAATCAGTGTTTCCTAAACTTATCATGGATGTAAGGATTTGTATTGTTACAGTGAGTCTGAGTCTGAGAAGTCTATGGTGAATATAAAGTTTTTTCCTTCCTTCCTTTTAAGTTGCAAATGTGCTGAGACCCAGCAACAGATAATTAGGCTTCCAAGTTATGGGAAGTTATTGTGAATATTTTTAGGCTTCCAGTTTTTAAAGACTAGACAACCTGGAAACTCCATACTGAAACTTTGAGCTCACTAAGACAAATACAAGCCATTATCTTAGTGACAACAAATTCAGTGTCAACCAAGATGGAAACCAGACCTGCACATTCAAAGCTCAAAACAACATTGAATTTCTGTAGTTACAATGACATTTAGCAGACTTCATCAACAACCACATCTTTGGGGGAAAAATGCTTTAGAAAAATTGTTATGGTAAGTTTTATCTATAATGAGCTATAATGTTTTGAGAAAAGCAGCTCTTCACACAAGCAGCTTCTGCTAAAATGCTGTCTGAGCACTGAACTGCAAACTTTATAGTCGTAACTCTCACTAATTGGAACACTGTAAGTGATAATGGATAGCTGTGTAAACAAAGCTGGCTCTTTGCAGCCATTTTCTTTTTCTGGATTTCGAGATTTCAAGCCATAAAACTAAATCCCACTGTTTAAAAAAACATTTTCCAGTTCAGTCTGTAGTGTTATGATGGTTTCAATTTACTGAAATAATTAGGAACTGGGAAAGTGAACTCAGGGCATACCTTATAGCCACTGCCTTATGGGGACAAACACAATTATGAATACAGCAATAAATATACAAAATAAATCAATAAAATAATTATATTTATGATTCAATCTGCCATGAAACACACAATTGATCAATCGTTCAGGGTTTACAAAATACTAAAAATAGCAGGTCTAGATTACATTACCTCGTGAATACGATTACATAAACATTCACACATTAAGACTATTTTCCTGAATTCCACTTGATCTAACCTCTTCCTGTACCCACAACGACTGTGCTCCTACACCACTACATACACCATACCTCTGACAATTGAATGTAAGCCGAACTTGAACTTAAAACTGTACTTAATTGTAGTTGTTCTATTTGATATTCACCGTATTATTTTGCACTGTTTTGCTCTGTTTATGTACTTTTGCACAGTTTTTAACAGATATGGGTACTGCTGCACTGGTACCGTACTGTTGTTTACACTGTTATTGTTATTGTGTTTTCTGTCCTGCACCTGAGAGACTAATGAGAAACACTTTTCATTATTCTATGCACCTGTGTAAGTATAATGAAAAATACAGTTGAGTTGAATTGCATCATGTTTGAAATAGCTGGTTAATTTTCGTTATTAAACATTATAGCTGGATCTGGCTGCAGCTGTCCACTCCTTGTCCTCATCTCTGTGCCGAAGGAGTTCCAGCTGAAGCAGGGACAGCTGAGTGGGGCCTCATGTTGAAGATGGCTCCTCAGATTGCACGTGAATGAACTTGGGTACAGCGGCAATTGAGACATAGATAGAAAGTTCACTTGCCTGTAATCAGTAGTTGCTATTCTGAATATTCTATGATATTCAGTGGTGCTGACAAAAGTTTGACTGTGTTATTCCATTGATCAGGCACAACTACAATTGGGAGCTTGTGGGAAAATGTCTGTTGTTGCAGATGAAGTCTTGAGTAGAATTAAGTTTATACAGGTCTCTCAGTCAGGTAGATGCTTTCAGCTAAGTTTGTTCCAGTTGTTCAAGCAATGGTGGATCCAGTCAAGAGATTAGTTAGCCGTCAAGTTGCCAAGGTTTCAAGAGTCACAGGGCTTCTCAGACTGTTGTGTAGAGCCTTTCCAGGTGCATCGTCACAGGTTGTGATATCAACAGGCGTAATGTTCATGTCATGTGGCCGCTTCCTCCTCGGTGAATCACTCTGGCCTTGACAATGGATTTGTAATAGATCACAAGCTGGGATTCAACTCAGATGTCTCCTCTTTTGGAAGACAAAAATTATGGAGAAGAAGAGTCCAATTTATGATGTCCCGATTTCTACTAACCAGTCAGCCCTTCCTATCGGCCAGCTCCTCATCTCCATCTCCCCAGTATTCCTAAGAAACTGACTTAAAGCAGTTAAGTAGTGCCAGGGTAATTTTCCCTTCAAGACAAGAGAAACATTGCGCAATTTCTGAGCAGTTAATTCAAAGTCTAATGATAATAGCTGCCACAACTCCAGAACTCCAAGCATGATGTCATTGTGCGGCGCATTAAAGTCTCACACACTGTCGTTCCTATGTATAACAAGATGGCCACAGGACCGTCATGCTCTCACAATTCAGACTGTCTCTGTCTGTCTTGGACACTACTTCACAGATTACGTCTGAAACGTGGAAGATTTCATGAACAAGTAAAGCTGTTAATGATGTGCACAAAAATGTTTACAAAAACTGTGCCTGTTGCCACCAAACAAATACAGGTATTTGGTGTCATTTTAGTGATAATAAGATTATCTATCTTAAAATAGTATGGCTGCCTGCCTGCCTTTTTGTCTCAAACTTCACACTGTTCAAATCATAGTGAGTGTTGCAGCTATTGACTTAAAACGTGGCAGATTCCATCATACGAAAACCTGCCTCAGACTTATATGTCTTATATGCAGCAACAATACTTGTTTTTGCCATAATGACCAGCTTAATGAAATGTATCCAGTACCACTAACTGCCTTTCTTCAGAAACTATTTGGCAAATAAACTCATAATCTGTCATATAATCTACAGTGTTTGGTATATTGAGATTTTCAGAAAGCTTCTGATAAAGTTCCTCATCAAAGATGAATTCTCAAATTTCAGGCTGTAGGTATTCAACTGTGTAAGGAAATACTGTACATTTTAATTCTCCATTAGTTCACCCAGAACACCCACACTGTTAAAGCAGGCGGGCAGAGGCTTGCTTGCAGTTCATGGTTTACGTTGCTGTCACTGCATGTAACACTTTGCTTCTGAACATTAAATGCAGATCTGCCACATTTACCAGGTGTAAAAAAGAAAGAAAGACCTTCACCTTACAGGTGAAAAAACAAAACACAACGTTTCGGCCGTGGAGCCACACATCCGAAACGTTGTGTTTTCTTTCTTCTTTTTTCAGCATGGAGTAAACCTATTACTTGTTCCTTTGCAGCCTACGCATGCTGACGCAGATACCCACCTGAACTAGGTAGTAGATGTATTGCTAATAATTTAGGCTTGTCCCAAATCTCACTTTTTTTTTCTAACCAGATGAAGACGTTAAAGTCTTTTATCATTGTTGTTCAACCTAAACTATTCGAACCAGCTAAAATAGACGTCCGGGAATGAACCCTACATTGTACTGCATTCCCCAGAATACGTTGCGCAGCCTATGACGACACTTCCTCTTTTGACGGTTTGTCCAATCATCCACGCCAGTGAAGTGGCGCGCCAAGGAGAAAGTAACAGCATCACAGGAAGGTAAATAGTTAAAAAGACAGTACAGGAGAATTATGACTATTGTCACATTGTAGAGCAATTAACACAAATCACGGTCACAACAGACGAAGTAGCTGAAGACCGGGTTTGTACATTATGCATTAGTAAATGGAACAGCCATGTCTCTTTTTGCAAAGGTAAGTGGGACTTTTATGAACTTTGGCTGCGCAATGTGGCTAGTGACCAGAGTGGCCTGAAGTACCTTGTTGCAGAACCACGTTTCTTCTCATTGTTTAGTTTTATAAACCGCTGTGCCAGGGTATGGAGCTGTTTTATCTCCTCTGGAGAGGCGTGCCAAGTGAAACGTGGCAGAAACTCGCTCTCCTCCTCTCGGCTGGATAGTGCTGAGCTGCGCTAGATCAAGAGCCACCGGCTGAAAGCGAAAACAGCGTTTGTGCATCATATTCGTGTCTTTTCTCCGTTTCCCTGCTTATAACGCTACTGCATGTCCGCGGCAATTGCCCCTTATGAAACTTTTAATGAGCTGCTATTAAATTAATAATATTTACCGAATATTCCAGACTGTAATCCTTCGTGTTCTTATATTATTTATTTAACAAAAAAAAAACCGTATTGAAGGGTATTTAACCACAACAGTTGATCTTTCAATATAGCAGTCTGCTCAGTTAGGGCGCAGGACGTGTGCCAGTCACCTATAATAATAAAAAAAAACCAACAACATTTCGCTGAAATGAGATCGGTGCTCGAAGGATTGTAAAGCGCTATGATTTTGGCTTGAATTCCGTTAGAGGAAGAGGAGATCGAGAGAAGTCAGACGCGCGGTCTTTCCTGACGATGTCAAGGACGGATTGCAAACGCTGGGAAATGAGAGCACACGTCCTCCCTCCTCTGTTGCCAAGTCCTGGGAGCGCCGTGGGGACGGATTCAGGGACTGCCCTGTTGTCGAGGGACAGGTACGTAGCCCAACACTCATCACGAACAAGGAGATGCCTGCTCCCAGCCTATAGCTTAAAACCTCACCATGTATACAGCTTGTCACCTTATCATGAGTAAACGTGCACAAGCAGAGAGAGGCAAGGTGGCCTAGCACATAAGATAAGATCACTTTACTGGCCGTATACAATGTGTCTTTTCGCATACACCAACTTGTTCTAAAAGGGACACACAGACAGGGAGAGAAGCTTGGGGTCAGAGTGCAGGGTCAGTCATTTATACGTGGCCCCTGGAGCAGTTGGGGTGAAGGGCCTTGCTCAGGGGCCCAAAGGAGTAGGATTCCTCTGCCGGCCGCGGGATACGAACCGGCAACCTTCCAGCCACAGAGCCACCACACCGGCCTTGGCGTTGCTGTCTTGGTCTCGGATCCTGGCTTCTACTGTAAATGTGCCGGTTGCTGCCATTTTTCAATGTTTTTTTATCGCTGAGTAATAGGTTGCCCTATTGCCCCTCTCCCTTTCGGTTTAATTTTCAGAAACTGGGCAGTTCTGGAAAGAAGTTAAGAGCTGTGAGGCAGTTGGTTCATTCTTCATTCTTAGCTAAAGGTAAGTGAATTGGCGGAAGCAAAGCCGAATTCTTGAAGGTCAGTTGAAAATACAATGTCTTTTGGATCTGTTATAGCACCGAAACCTGCAGAATGCTTGTGGGTATTTTGTGTGCACAGTCAATTTCATTTTTGGGTGAAACTGTTTTTTGTTTAAGAAACTAATACTTACCGGTATTCCGCCTGATTTTGAATAGTAGGTGTTGCCTTTTGTGTCTCAGATTGCATCTGCTAATATTAATAATTCCTCACACTTTTATATAGTGCTTTTCTGGACACTCCACTCAAAGTGCTTTACAGGTAATGGGGACTCCCCTCCACCACCACCAGTGTGCAGCCCCACCTGGATGATGCGGCGGCAGCCATAGTGCGCCAGAACGCTCACCACACATCAGCTGTCAGTGGGGAGGAGAGCAGAGTCATGAAGCCAATTCATATATGGGGATTATTAAGAGGCCATGATTGAGAAGGGCCAATGGGAAATTTGGCCAGGATGCTGGGGTTACACCCCTACTCTTTTGGAGAAACACCCCAGGATTTTTAATGACCACAGAGAGTCAGGACCTCGGTTTTACGTCTCATCCATCTCAAAAGGTCAGCGCCTGTTTACAGTATAGTGTCCCCGTCACTATACTGGGGCATTAGGACCCACATGGACTGCAGGGTGAGCGCCCCCTGTTGGCCCCACTAACACCTCTCCCAGCAGCAACCTTAGTTTTTCCCAGGAGGTCTCCCATCCAGGTACTGACCAGGCTCACGCCTGCTGAGCTTCAGTGGGCTGCCAGTTGTGAGATGCAGGGTGGTATGGCAGTTGGGAAATGTAGTCAGACTCCACCGACCTGCCCACTTTGAAAGCAAGGGAACGTGAGAAACGTAGTGAATGAGAGGAGGCCTTTCAGCCCGTCTCTTCGGCACTTTAAGAGCTGAGTGACCAGGGGAAAGAAGCCAGGATATTGGCTTCAGCACCTTGGCAGGTAGCTTGTTCCACACCTCCAGTACTGTCAAACACACAGATCAGAAGCAAGGCTGTACTACCGGGATGCTAGGGGTGGACTTTACCCCATGCCTCTGGAAGAGACTGCACCAGTCACCTCAGAGTTTGGTATGAATGATGCTGTTACCCATGGGCCACCTTCCAGTTTTCGCCCTCTGCCCTAAGCCCTTCCTTCAAGTCCACACTTCAGTGACACAGAGCAAGTGTGTGAGGATTGGAGGGGGCATCATTATAAAAAGAGTAAAGAAGTGTGGTTTCACAGCTCACGGTCAAAATGCTTTTTGTTGAACTGAATTTCATCTCATCTATGCCTGCACAAAAGTAGTGACACATTGTGTTCATGTTGAGCAAGCTCAACTCAAAACGGGCAAAGTAAACTATAGAAAACTTTTCAGTACCACTCTCTGGTTATTCAAAGCTGTGTACTACTACAAATACATTTAAAAAATGACAGTACGGTGAACATAACGAGCCCATTCACATTTGTTCAAAGAAAACTATATTAAACTTGGCAATACCTCAAAGCTTTGTACTATTAATGCATGTGCTATTAAATATTCCGTGTACAAAATATATTGCAGGTAAACTAATATTTATCGGTGGAAATGGGGTGACAAAATAAAGGGTTTACGTCAGGACTTTATACCTAGAATACATACAGTATGAATCTAAAGTCGCCTAATGAAATCCTGTCTTTACTAAAATATTATAAGTTTTAAAGGTGTAAAAAAGTTCAGTTTTACTGACGCATAAAATTAAATGTCACCATTCAGCAAGGAATTGGGGGTAATTCCCTTCAGCGAAGTCCTCTCTGATGCGGACCTCTGTTGAGGCAAGTGAAGAAACAAAGAGCCGGGTGACGTCAGTGGGCCGGAGGCTTGACGCACTTATTGCAAGCCAAGGATTTGCAACAAAATACTGACCTTTTTACTTCTTTGCTAGTTAAGAGTCCCAACACTTATGGTAACCTAAAGTTGGGGGGACCGAACACAACGTATGCTTTGGTTGAAAAATGATTAATTGTGTTCGCAAAATATATCCTACAAGTAAAAAGTGAACTTTTTCCTTTTAACTCAGAATAACTGGTTTTATGTGAATTTCAATTTCTTGTGTATACAAGAGGGAAACACCAGTTTTAGGTGTTTGTGCCAGTTTTCTCGGAGGGCACTGTATATCGCAGTCTCACATTCCAGTCCAGCAGCTACACAAACTGCACTTTAAGACCCTGCCCTTCATGTGTGGCACTTGAGCCCTCCGTATGGCTCAGAGGCGTTGCGTCTCTGGGGACTGTGGGACTTGTTACAAGGCTGGGTCTGAGTCTGTTCTTGCGCATCTCCGCAGCTCAAGCGCAGCCGGAGGACCCCGTGCATATTGTGTGGAGCTCCAGCGACAGTGAGCTGTCCGAGGGGGAGAGCCAGCGGCCCGTGCCCCGAAACCGCTCGGGTGGGGCGCGCGCTGCCGTTGACGCCTATGACAGATACCTGCGTGCGGTCCGCACGGCAGCAGCAGGCCCTCTCGAAGGTTCGTTTCCCCTGTTGCTCTTCGCTGGCTTTTCCTTCTGGAACGGTCCGGGTGAAATCCTGAAAGCTGGAGTCGGGATTTTAACGTAAGTGGTTGAACGAAGGTGTCTTCTTCAGCCTTGTGAGCATCAGGGAAAACAGCGGCTCTTTCGTTATTTGTACTTGCTGTTGAGCTAATTCCATGTTGGGAGTGAACACGGTGTTTTCATTTTTAAATTGCAGCTCGCAGTTACCTTCTGTCTAGTTGGTTGGCACTTCGTGAGGAACTGTAATTCTTCCCTTATTTTAAAGGAGTGTGAAACGGTTCTCTTCTTTGCAGATGAGCTTCATAATATTGACTGGGACACGGAGAGTGACCAGGAGTATGCCGGTAGAGTGGAAGAAGGAAATGTTGCGGAAATATCAGATGGTGATTCAATTTCTGAGGAGCAGTCTGTCCCTACAGTCCTCAAATGTCAAGATCATGCTTCAGGGGTGAGTAGGGAACTAACTGTAAGTGGTCTGATTCGCAAAACTGTTACGTTAATGCTTTTCCAGGTATAGGTTGAAGGCTATGTGGACATGATTTTACCAGGTTTGTACATAATCATGGACTTCTAGTACAATTTTATGAATTGGACATGCTCATTACCAGGTTTGCAGCTTCTTATGGTCTAGGTTTAACTGCTGATTTAAAATCTCTTGTTTTCTTGTTAAATCTAAAAATTCTGTCGAAGCTCTAGTTCTGAAATACTCTTTTCGCCTCTCAAAACAAGGCTTCATTAACAATAGCTTTAATTTTTTGGGACTAGATCATAAGGGTCCATGTGATAAAAACTCTGGTTTCTACCTCCGAGTCCTAGCCAGTGGCTCAGGATTGAAGACAGGTGACCTCTGTGATTGCTGTGCTGTGTGCTCAATAACTCCTGAGCTGGGAACATTCCTTCCTTTTCTGGGTCTTGGTTCAGTTTCAGTACAGAGCAGTACCTGGTACTAAACTAATACCTAATACACTAATACACTACTGTTGGTAGTGATGTCCTTTCGGTACACGTTCATGGTCTTAATCTAGTCTGACAGTATGAAATACTAATAAATATCAAGGGTGGCATATTTATATGCTTTAAAACAATTTTACGAACATTACTATGAGTTTCGTTTCCATTACATAATGGTGGAGCCTATTTGAAAACCTCACGTTCAAAGCTCCCGATGAAATGTTGCCCATCATGGGAATCGAAGGGGCTCTGAGACTTAACTCCTCCAAGGCAGCCCACCCAGGAGCAGGTGTGCCACCCGAGTGTCTGAACAGGCGCAGCACGGTGTCACCGAGAGGGCTGTTAACTCTCTGGGCCGAGGCAGGAGGGCGTCCTGGCAGCCGTGACCGAGACCAAGCAGCTCTTCCCAGGAGCCCCCTGGTTTTGGGGGGCGGTGGCTAGAAATGGGGCCTCAGGCGCTGAACGTCCGTGCCCCCCGGGGGAGATGTGACCAGACCCCTCCCGAAGCTGCACTGCTATGGCCTGCCGAGGGGGTGCGGCTCGGCTATCGGTGGCGCCAGTCCCCTCCGGCTGCCCCGAGCCCTGCAGGTGCCTGTCCTTGCCGGGTCGTGTCACAGTAACAACTCGGCTCTCGAATGCGCCGCTGCAGCACGTCAACTTAAATATTGCTTGTTGAAGAAGGTTTTATTTCTTCTTGTAGGCACTATTAAACGTGAATTCAGTCAGGTTGCTGTGCAGCGAGCGGTGCGCGGCTCTCCAACTCGGGGCTCCTCAGGAATACAGATAGTCATGCCAGCACTCTCTGACCCTGTCCTCCGTCTTAAAATGTGCGAAGAGCCGCGGGTTTAGTCATCGGCCGCCCGTTAGAAATCATGTCAGGATTGTTCGGGTGTGAGCATGCGGAAAGGTGAAGTCAGAGGTGTCTTTCCGCACTTTCTCTTTCTCCCTCTGTGAGAGTTTACGGGGTTTGTAGCTGAGAACTGAGACGTGAAAAATGCACAACCTGCTGGTGCTGATCTTGTCTGCCGTTCTTGACAGATCTGAAAACCCCTGCTGCTCTAGTGTAGTCTAGATGTATTGTAATCTTCTCTTGATCTGGGTTGGTCAGATGCATTTAAGCAGAATTAAAAACATAGATTGCCGTGCTATTCAGCATTCTGACTGTCAAATTATTTTGTTCATCTGTCCTCCACAATCGTGCCTCTTCTTGAAGCGTTCAACACCACATAATCAAATTTCCATTATTGTACCACTAGGTGGGGCCGTTGTGCTGTGTTGTAAATATACTGTAGCTGCATTTAGTAGGTATTCCTTTTCTAACTGTATTATCCAAGTCATGGTCATGGGGGATCCGGAGTCTGTGATGGCAAGCAACAGGCACAAGGCAGGATACACCCTTGATGGAGCATCAGTCCATCACAGGGCACACACAGACACACACACACTCGCATCGGCGCTCACCCTGTGGTCCATGTGGGTCCTAATGCCCCAGTACAGTGATGGGGACACTATTCTGTGAACTGGCGCCGTCCTTCGGATGAGACGTAAAACCGAGGTCCTGACTCTATGTGGTCATTAAAAATCCCAGGGCGTTTCTCGAAAAGAGTAGGGGTGTAACCCCGGCGTCCTGGCCAAATTTCCCATTGGCCCTTACCAATCATGGCCTCCTAATAATCCCTATCTATGAATTGGCTTCATTACTCTGCTCTCCTCCCCACTGATAGCTGTTGTGTGGTGAGCGTTCTGGCGCATTATGGCTGCCGTCGCATCATCCAGGTGGGGCTGCACATTGGTGGTGGTGGAGGGGAGTCCCCATTACCTGTAAAGCGCTTTGAGTGGAGTGTCCAGAAAAGCGCTATATAAGTGTAAGCAATTAATTAATTAATAATCAGGGCCAGTTTTCACAGATAACAGTTAACAGTTAACCAATAAGTCAATGGACTGTGGGAGGAAACCTGCGCGAACACAGGACGAACATAAAACATCCACGAAAATAGCACCTCAGAAAGAACTCGTAAAGTCTAGAATCGAACCCAGAACCGAAGAGCTTTTTTTTCAGGCAGTAGCACTAACTATTTCATTGTGTGGTTAGGAAAATCTGGTTTCTTCAGTGACCAGCTTTTTTTAAGGCTGATACCCTTAGATTTCGGGGATAGACTTTGCGAAGGAGATTGTTGTGTGCTCTGACTGGAATGAGCTAGCAGTAGAGATGCTGACGGGCTATTGGTAAGTGGTGTCTGGGTGCTCTTCTCCATTGGCTGCCTTTGTTCCCTCCTATGATTGGACTCTTCTTACTGCTGTGTGTGTGAGAGATTGCAGAGATCTGAAGGAGCCTAACACGACTCACCAGGGGTGGCTTTTCTGCATATTTCCTGCAAATGCTTTAACTTGGAACATTGAGAGGGTGTCGTCCATTAAGAACATAGTGCAAATCAATAAACCACATATTTTGTTGCTTTAGGCTTAGAGTGACCTTTTCTTTGCTGAATCCCAACATCTCCCAACAACATAAATACAAGCGATCACCCAAAAAAATGCCTTTACTGGAGAGCGTAAAGTTCATTCTTTGGGAACCACTTGAGAAGATGGAATGTCGGTTCCCCACGTCAACCCCCCCTAACATCAGCAGTCCCAAGATCATAATGACTTTAGCATTAGGCAAATTTAAATTTAATGTGAAAAAAGCATGTCCTTTCTTCATTTAATCAAATGACAGTTTAAAAAAATTACGCTTGACAATCCCCGATACGAGCTCCGTTCCTAATGTCATTTTAAACACGTGTCCTGAGTTCTCTATATAGCCACTAGAGGGAGCACGTAAACCACCAAATGCGTGGTAGCGATAAAAATACTAATAATGGTGTTTAAAATAGTTAAGTTAAATGTTTATTACAGAAAAATAAATGAGTGGGATTTTGTATTGGCATGTGTCCCGGACATATTTCACCTATTTTTTCCATAAATTGCTCTTTTACATGTTCTGCTTTTTGGGGACCCCTTTTACTCTGTTGACACGAAATGGCTTTTACTCCCTCAAGAAATTGATTATTTTGTCGATGCCAGTAGCGATACCTTGTGATATATACACACCCGAAGACTGTAGCACCATCCCCGCCTTAGAGTCCCTCCAGTTAAGGATAAAGAGGGTTACTTCACTGTGTGCAGGGCCTGCAGAACGGCACTTTAAACCCAGGCGGTGGCTTATCGGCTCTCTGTTCCGGCTGGCTGGTGGGTTGCTGTAGAAGCCTCAAGCTTGCTTACCGGTACCCACGCCCATGGGCTTTAGCATGTCCAGTCTCGCCTTCCTCATGTTTATTAGGAGACCTCTTTCAGTCTACCACCCACCTTCCGGCCCTCAACAACCCATATCGCCCCGTACTTCCAGGTAACACCACAGTGGGGAAATTCAGAGCATCTTCTAAAAAAATCTGGAGCCCGTTCTTACTGTATTACAGTTGTCAGAGATTTAATGCCTCACCTACATATCTGTGTGCCTTCAAAGTATTTATGGGAATTGCCTGTGTTTATTTATTCATATTTGTGAATGCGTCTATGTATGTATGAAAATATACATGGTAAATTAATTAAAAAAAAGAAAGAATCTGCAAGCTCATTTCCAGTCGGACGTCTTCTGTATGGAGAGATTCCAAAGTGATTTGCAGAGACATTATGATAGCTCTGCAAGTCATTTGTACTACAGGATTAGTGTCTCTGTACCATGAGTGCTTAGTGTTATTGGACAGGTGTTGCATCGGAGAAGAAAGGGAATTTATTTCTGTAAGAACTCGGGGTTCCTCGGGTATCATCATGGTTAAACCTTGAAGAGCCCCAGTACTTGAAGAGGTGGGTCTTGGGTGTGTCAAAGGCCTGAGCCGTAATGCTCTGGAGAGGGGCTGTGACGTGAAACCTTGAGTGTGTGATCCCAGTTGCATATTAATGGCATACTGTTCTTTCTGAGTCCTTAGGTAAGTCATAATGATGATTGTTCATACTTTGATCATCCAGTTTTCTAAGGGTCTCCTTGCATTTGTTTTTAATTTCTGTGTTTGCTGATTTTCCAACTTTACGCAAGCTGCAGAAACATTTTCTTCTCACTTTTGTTCCTCATTGTGAAGTTGTGGTTGGCATCTTGGAGTCCCTACAGCACTGCAAACTGCTTATAGAATAGAATCTTTATTGCCACATGACCAAGGCTGGTGGAAATTGTTATTGGTACAGCTTTGCTACAGACATTTGACGTGTGACAATAACACACAGAATGTAAATACAGGACCAGAATGCACAATATACAATACAGATTATTAAAATACAGGACAATGAGAGGCAGAACAATACAATACAGAACATAAAATATAAAATCACACCTCTCTTAAAAAGCTGTGTCGGCACTCCAATCAGTTGAAATATCATTTTATTGTTTGAAAAACCTAACAGTACAGGGTGGCTGTAAAGTCTTGTGGTCGCTTTGGAGCATAAGGTCAAATCTGCATACTGTAC